AGGGGATCATTTTAGTGTCAGGTGTAATAGTTTGCTTTGTTTTTGTTTTATTAACATAAAAGGCCTGAGAAATTTCTGTTTGGTGTAAATACATCTCTTCAGATGCGGTAACCTCCTGGATTCTTGAGCAGCCAGGGCAGGGCTAGCCAACTGTGCTTCGCATTTACCCAAATACTAATCTCTATGCACATAAATCTACCTGTGAAATGCACATTATCCCAAATAAATGAACATAAATGGTAGTTTATGTTGCTGAGCGCTCCTGTTGCTCTTGTCGCCCTTCTCTTTATTTACCTCTAGGAAGATTAATGATTGTATCCAACAGTTGGACGGTGACCACTGGTTGCATGCAACTTATTACAAGGCACTGTGGGATACTTTAAGTCCACTGCAGAGGGACAGCAGCTGTAATTTCAGGAATTAGCTTAAATTATTAAACGATAGCCGATCGGTTACTTGAATTCTTCATTTGTAATATCTCAGCCTTTTTGCAAAAAGCCAGGTTTATGCCCTCAAATACTGAAATAATTTACATGAATATGTTATTATTGTGTTAACAGAATCAGTTGGTAGATCCTCTCTGGCATTTAGTCAGTGAAACCCAGACTCTACGAAGCCCGAGAGTCATTTACACTCGTTTGTGTTATATTAAAATAAGTTCATTCCAATTATTTTTTATTAGCTCCCACCATCCAAACCTGCAGATGACACCCTCTGGTCTAAGTCTGCACAGTAATAAAACATTTTTTCTTTCTATTTTTAACTTTGCGCAATAATTTTTTACAACCATTTGGCACCTCAGCTTTGATCAGGTTACCCAGCCAATACTCGCATTACAGATTGAAATTATTCCAGCTAAAATAATGGGGGGAAAGTATCACTTTCTGCCAAACACAGTCCTCTGATAGTCTCACTAAATGGAGCAAAGCACCTTTAATATCAGCCAGAGCCACATCTGCATGCAGCAGGATGTCAGCCCTCATTACTCTGCATTTGTGAAATTAAACTTGAAACTGGAGCAAAAGAAGATCACAGATCGTACTGTGACATATTTTTCTAACACATTTTAAAGGATATTTAGCTGTTTTTCTCCAACTTGCTGCCTCCCTTTCAGTCTTCAATTATATAGACATATCGACCCATGAGCGAGCGATGCTTCAATATTAAAGAACTTCAGACTTCATCGTTTTTTGTTTTTTTTCTAGAGGAATTTCTTTAGCACAATTATTTGTACTTTGATCAATACCACCACCAACCCCCTCCTCTCTATACCATTGGAGGTGCACTTCATCACCGGAGGAAAACAATTTCATCCAGTGGCTCCACCTCATTCTCCAGTCGACTGTAGAGGGAGTGAGTAGGGGGGCAACAAGCTTTATATTCCTTTCTGCGGGCTTCAAGTCAACACACTAAAAAGCATCTCTTCAATCTGTGGAAAAAGGGAGGAGTTGGGTTCTGGGCAGCTACTGCACAAAAAGAGAAACCACTGAAATCTGCAAGTATTGTCTGGCACTGGAGAGGGGGGATGGAGGAGTGAAAGATCTGAGCAACAGGGGTAAGCCTCTCCGAATTTTCAAAGTGATTACCTCTGGGAGTGAAGCCGTCGCTTACATCTGCAATTATCACGTCCATTTGTCTATTGACGAAGGAGTGTGGATAGTTACGCTGGATGTTTTTGTTAATGGAGTGATTCAGCTGTTTTTCTCATAAAGGAATCATTATGTAAATCAATTTTACATCCCCCAAGGAGCACAGTTCCTTTGTTTATATCTTCATGGCAAAGTGTTTTCAAGCCTGAACAGTGGGACAGCTGCATGTTAGGACTCCAGTTGCTGCTACCTGGATTTTTTTATACACACACGCGCTGTTACACACATATTAAGGTGCATGTCGAGAAAATGTGTAAATTGTAGTCTAGTGGGGGCAGCTGAGAAACTGCACTTGACAACGAAGCACTTTCCTTGACTCGCAATTAAGGTTTAAGACTCCACATCCGAATCTGTTTCCATGGAGCCAAACAAATCAAGTGATGCCCAGAAGCCCCCTCTTCAGAACCCACAGTCCAGCTCGCTGAAAGCAACATGGAACGAGATCACGGTGGATTTCATAATGAGGACCAAGATCCACGGTTTGAAGTTTGTCTTCTCTCCGGACAAGTCGAAACCGCAGCGGGTCATCTGGATCATGGCCTTCTTCCTTTGTCTGAGTCTCCTCTTCACCTGGTCCTGGAATCGAATCCTCTATTTGATGTCCTACCCCGCTGTCACCAAGATCTACATGGTCTGGGCTCACAACATGTCCTTCCCAGCCGTTACCTTCTGCAACAAAAATGTTTTCCGGGTATCCTCTCTGACTAAAGATGACCTGTATCACAGCGGCTACTGGTTGGACCTCCTGTATCATAATCACACAGTCATAAAGAGGAGCCTGTCTATCCTTAAAGACAATCACAAGCAGGGTCTGCTCACTCTCCTGGACTTCAGCAGCTACACCCCACCCCCCAATTATCACACCAACACCACGGAGATGATGGGTCGGCTCGGTCACCAGCTCGAGGACATGCTGCTGGAGTGCAGGTTTCGTGGGGAAACCTGCACCTACAAAAACTTCAGCACTGTATGTACAGAAAGAGAGATGGTGTTTGCCAGGTGTGGATGTGAGCGTTGTTTATATGGGGTATTAATAATTCATGTTAGCATTTGACAAAGCTACAGCAGGCATTCTCTCCAGGTCTTTTAAGTCGTTGATGTTTCAGAGCTGCAAAACAAGCCTCTCCTGCTTTTTGCCTTTAAGACATGACAGCCGTTCCCTCATTAAAACTCATGTCTCCTTAAAATTCACTCAACAGCACAAACACAATGATGTGGCTTCAGAGTCTGCTGTATTTAAAGGTTTCATATTTGGCTATGTTGACTGGCTATTTCCCTCTAATGTCTTTTTTGCTTTATAACATGACAACATTTGGGCGAAAATTGAGCGCATTAATAATTCAGACGTCATAAATCAGTTCAAATTAAAATTTCAGCGTCTCTAATTAAACATCTGTTGGGCACGAGGAGGATATGCGTCAAAATATGCAGCTGAGTTTCCCATTTAAACGCACCAGACGTGGATCCATTACAGCCATTCATCTCTGAATAACTGAAGCGAGAAAGTGGGTGACATTTGCAAACCATAGTCCCGCTCTTCCGCGTGGTGATATCTTGAGTAAATACATTCGCACACAAACCGGTAGCTTATAACGTCATTAGAAAATATTAGCAAGGGCGACTGGGGAAGTTTCTGCAGTGGTAAGCCTGCATGCAGAGGGACTGAGAATATTTTAAACCTGGCAAGACACATCCAGATATAAAACCCTCACCTGTCACAGGCGTCACATTTAGCTCCCTGCCTTTGCTGAGGTGGGTCTGAACAGCTAGATCCAAGTCATAAAAATCAAACATGTAACTGTGACAGCTTCAGCTGATGTGAGACATTTACAGTGGGAAGTCTTACAGGCTGCAAGAGGTCAGCTACCCATGGTGGCTTCATAGCAACGGAGAGGCTTTAAAATCTTCAAATTCTCTGTTTTTGGCCAGATTGATGGCTTGCGATATGCAGGATTTACATTTTGCTATCTGTTTGTTGCTCTTGAGCAACTCATATTGGGTCTGCGGCATGGATGATTGATGCTCTCATTTGATCTAAACATAAATATGAATATTTTAAAACAGTCATAAATTGTATGATGTGTATAGGCACTCCCTCATTATATAGCCAGCAGGGAGGGGGGAAACTTATCTGTGTGAGATGGATGTGAGTCTGTCTGGGTCTGGATGTTGAACGCTGAATCTGATCTCTCGAGATCAGCTTTGCCATGCTGGCTGAGTTTTAACCAGCAGCCCTCTTTCTATGACCTTACCACAGTCGAAATGAATCCAAACTTCAGTCCTTCCTGCACATCAAAAATCTCATGCTAGCAGCACACATTTTTGTTACGATGATGAGAAAAGGAAGTCTATTAGGGCAGCTATGATCATTAAAACAGGACTTTAAGGTCTGTAAGCTTTCACTTTTACCTGAGATTGATTTCAATTCATCATTACATAAAATAATATTGTAATTCAAAAGTTTACAAGCACAGATTGCAAACTATACATCACAGAGTGAAACTTAGATAACATAAATGTAAATTAATACTTCTGAATTGGCAATGTTTTTGAGAGTAAGAACATTTACAACTGCCAAAGTTTCATCGACACTCATTTTCATTTATTTATGAGACTTTTTGTCCCCTTTTGGCTTCCGTACTATGATTCTCTTGTTTAGCCATAACTTATCGCATTTTAATGTGTAGCCGTTGATGTGAACACAAACAGCAGGTTGCTGCACACGTCATGATGATGAAAATCTTGAAATGCTTATAGTTTGTTTAAATCTATGGAGAGTCGATGATTTTAATTCTACATTTTCATCCTTCTTGACTGATTTATATTTACTTGCTTGGTAGATGACATAGAAATTTTTCAATTATAGGTAAAAGCCATAAAATTGAAAAAGAAAAAAATCCCCTCTGGGGCACAGAACCTGAAATTAAATTATTTAAACATAGAAGAAAATCTACTATAGTGATTGCACATCAAACATTAAATCCTGCTAAGCTTTCCTGGCAGAGGTTTGGTCTATTAAGAAGTTTATAAAGCAAAATACAAAAATGTCTGCTTGTGTGTCCAGATTCTTCCCCCTCATATGTTTCTCATTAAGTGATGCCAAAATAGTAAATTCAGTCTAAGTCACTCAGCTGCTGCTGAGGAGCACTCATTACTTCCTCAAATCAGAGCCAGGTGCCTGTTTAAGACCTGCGCTGTCTTCTCTGATAATCACAAAATCTTTGGAATGATTACCTGCCCTGCACAATGTGAGACTGGCATGTAATATAGCTCGTGCTGCTGCACCGTGAAAAGGATCAAACTTTTTATTTGTGCTTATTTTTCTCTGTGTGTGTCCTATTTTTCTTACAGATTTACACACGGTATGGAAAATGCTACACTTTCAACTCGGGATTAGATGGCAACCCTTTGCTGACCACGTTAAAAGGCGGCACGGGGAACGGCTTGGAGATCATGTTGGATATTCAGCAGGATGAATACTTGCCTGTTTGGGGCGAGACAGGTCAGTGAAGCATTTTTACAGTAACATCTGATTTGCGCAGACTTCCATGTGGAAATCTCATCAGCTTGTTGGTTTATCCCTGAAGTCCTGACAACTGCCACAGTATTTTGTCATCTCCATGACAAATGGATGCTCCACAGAGGAATGTTGTACATCTCTCACTTTACCTATAAATCTTTGCCTATATATATATATATTTTTTTTGCACCACACTGAAGCAGACAAAGAAGTGATGCACTACCATGGTTAACCACTTATCATCTTAATATGTTTCTCCAGGTCTACAACTGACATCAGACCCAATAAAACTGCATTTACTGACTTATTGTTTCTCATTTATGGTGGACCACAACATAATGGGACCATATATTCATAAAATAAATAGCATGTAATTAATTCTGGTTCTAAATCTGTTTGATATTGAACCGGCACACTGACACAAGAGTTTATTTCTTATATTAGCTTCCATTAATATGATGAAAGCGGAAGGGTAGAAACCCTGGATTAATGTGACTGCTGGATCGCTAAACAGCACTGGTTTCCGTCGATGACCGTACATGTTGTTGTATTTTCTGGCGTGCTGTATCCACAGATGAGACCTCCTACGAAGCAGGCATCAAGGTTCAGATCCACAGCCAGGACGAGCCTCCTTTCATTGACCAACTGGGATTTGGTGTGGCACCTGGTTTTCAAACTTTTGTGTCATGTCAGCAGCAACTGGTACCTAACGTTCGGCCTCCTCTCCGACCCCAGCGTCTTTTGCTCTGCTTCATCCTGTGTTCGTCTCAAAAACCCTTGCCAGCCAGTGTCCATCACCTCTGTGTCACAGAGCGCGGAGCAAAATCAGATCCAGATCTTAGTATTACCTTTGTGTTGAGATGCGCATCTAATGTGTTACATAGACAGCCGATGAGTTGGGTTAGAGTAAATGAAACTTAGTTATAGCCACCAAGAAGTACTGATAGAGCAGGGCCGAGTAATGATTGCATGCAGGAATATGAGCATACTGCGCTTATCAGAGCCAAAAAAGCTTTAGACTGCACAGCATGCAAAAAATATATAGCAGCTCAGGGTGTTTAGTTTACTTTTTTATATTGAGTCTTCATTAGTTGGAGCTCAGGAGAAAGAAAAAGGACAACAGCTTTTTATTTGCAGCACTGAAAATCATCTCTAGTGACACTAGAGTCAAACAGAAGCCAGCAAAAAACGTTGAGGACTAATCCACACAGCCAACTTCAGCAGTCTTTAATCATCGGACATTATCGCTGATTAACTCTTTTTAAAAACCCACACTTTACAGTTTTTAAAGAGAGACTTAATGTTTTCTTATGACTAACTGTTGGGATCGGCATTTAGCTAAAAGCTGACTATATCTTAAAGGAAATCTACTAAAACTGTCATAATGTTGTTTATGTCAGTTTGGACCATATAAAGGAGCCTGGTGCACTTCTCATTACATTATTTTTTCTCCCAACACCAGTAATATGGAAAAAACGTGCGTTATTGGATGAGAAAGATGACCCACAGCTGTTTTGTAGACACATTTTAATATGTGCTATGATTTGATGACACGGTAAAAAGAGAAGCAAAATGGCCCGTGGCCGGTTTGTTGACCGAGTCCACGACACTGGCGTCACTGAAGGATGAAAAGCAATAACTATAGTTAAGCCCGAATTGATTGAAAAGCCCGTGTGCAAGGTCATAACGCTGAGCTCACATGGAATTTCCATCCAAATCTAATGAAACAATACGGCACTTATGTGATCTGCCAGGAGAACAAATTCAGACTCTGTTGCTTTTGTCCACACTAGCGTAGCTCACAAAGACAAAGAAAAGTCTTTGATTTTCAAACAGAAACACTGACAGAATAAGGAAATATCCTCTGACAAACAGAGAAGCACTCAGTGTAAATCCCAAGAAAATGGCGGCAGTGCCACAGAGGATTTTAGGTTTTTGCAGTGATTACCTTTGAGATCAAGTGTATTTGTGCCGCAGGCTCGTTAAAAATTTCCACCGTATAATCAGTTCTTGTGAAGTCATGATGTAACGGACGCCTGAGCAGCGCTTTAACTTAGTTTCTTTAGCAGTTAATTAAGCCTAATTTAAATGATTTTGCTCCTAAATTGAATTGGCTCGTTCACCTCACAAGCTTCAGCGTGCTAGCAGAATAACATGGGATGGTTGAGGCACGGTTGGTCTCGTGAAACAGACACATGGACACCACAAGAGATGACAAATGTAACTTTTGGGAACTTGCATAGAAATGTATCTTTCTCTCATTTTTCTCTCCTTCTCTCTGCAAATGTTGTTGGTGCTCAGAGTGTATCATCATTCAGCCATTTCCAAAAAAAAAATAAACCTGCTCTGTTGCTCACCATCACAGAGTTTCCTCCAGGAGGCAAAAGTGCATGGTTTGCCATTTACAATCATGACATGAGCACCCACACCACTGACAGCTGAAAGACGTGTTTATGGCTTAAACGATGTGATGACTTAATTAGATTGTCATTATAAACTCTGGCCTGCATTCGTTTCACTCAGTGTCCAACGAGTGACATTGCTCTCGGTGCAATAAGAATAATAGCACTCGTGATTTCGAGGCTTTACATTTGTAAATCTTCTGTCGGAGGAGTTTAATTTTTAATAAGAGACTTTGACTTGTGAGCAAAGAGAGACATCGATACTCCACCACCAACAGTTAGAAGCGATCTGTAGCTCAAGACTGAGTGAAAGTAAGAAGAGAATGGCTGAATGACAACCTACCAGTCCTGCTTGGGACTCTGACAACAGGATGTTTGCCTGGAGGGGTCATTTTCTGTCCCCTTGCCTTACTTTATCTCCTCTTATATTTCGATAATGATGTGGGCTGTGTTCCCTCACCCCTTACCCCTAGATGAGACGTCCTATGAGGCCGGCATAAAGGTACAGCTTCACACTCAGTCAGAGCCTCCTTTCCTCCACGAGCTGGGCTTCGGGGTTGCCCCAGGCTTCCAAACATTCGTTTCCACCCAAGAGCAGAGGGTAGCGTATGACTGACTGGGCTTGCTGCATGCCACAAAATACTGTATTGTACATACTCATTAACTTCCACACTTTCATCTCCTGGTCCCGCCCTCTCCAAGGAATGGACCCATGTGTGCCCCCACCATCCCCCCCCCCACCCCCTCCTCTGTGTGGCTGAAGCAACGATATGTAACAGCATCTGCAGTCTGTCCTTGTTGCCATCTCTGCTCTCTGTCCTCACCAGCAAAGAGCTGGAAAGGTGTTTTATTTCTTTGAGCCATTCATCCAAATCTGTGTCTTTATCAGAGCTGTTGTTTGGCTTTACCCTTTCACATCCACATCTGATTTTGTAAGCATTTTGTTTTTGCTTATATGTGTTATCGGGGTGATCCACTGGACCTCTGCTTAATCTCATCTCCAGGGACCAGACAATGTGATTCATTAGGTTTTATTACCCATGAGAACTCTGGCATGAGTTTATAGTCTTGATTATATTGGGGGTTTTATCTCCAGTGTATCTCCACTTATGAGAGTCTGTGGGCTAGAAATGGAGTTCAATAAAGGCTTAATCATGTTTGCCAGTTTAAATCCACTTCTTTTGCGAATCGCACTCTATCTCTGTCACGTTGTATTGGCTAAATGACAGTTACATTGTCAGAGTTAGCACCTGGTTAGAGCTGGTGGAAATGATTGGGAATTACAGTGAACCTTAATGTGACAATGGAGGTGTAATTTCTCTGAGAAATTTCCCAAGAAGAAGCCTTTGGCAGAGATTGTTGGCTTGCTCCCCACTGCAGTTAGCGGCTGAATGCGCAACTACCCAAGCATCGCCGCCCTTCATAAATAATTGGCTTATTTTTGTCATGAAAATAAGTAGCAGACAGAAAACAAGACACTTAAAAGGGGGGCTGGAAGTCTTGTTGGTGGTTAGAGGCCACGCTGTGCAGCACACCACAGAGGAAGTCCCTTTAACGTCGAAGCAGATCTCACACAAAATGGGGCACGCTGCTGCAGCTCCAAGACGGATGGCGAGGTCTAATGTTAAGTGTGAATTGGGTCCTTAAAATTCACTTGTTAAATATTCTTCCCTAATGGATTCATTTAGAATTCTCAGAGTTATTCATAAATGTAATGACCTGCTCTCACCTTATAATGAGAGTTCTACCACTAATGAGACCGCAAACTGAGTGTACACTACATCTCCTCCTGATTGCTAAATTCATAGGGATATTCAGGGTAGTTGTGTAATAAACTCTCACGGGCATCAATGAGAAAATATAGGTTGTTAATCAACAGTAAAACCTCTTTAGAAAGCTTTCATTGACTGGATTATTCATTTAGGTTAACCTACCGTTATATACTACTTATTACCATAAGATTTTTTCTTTTAAAAAAAAGCTCCGTATGTTGTCTTTTAAATTCAATGAATCCTCCAGTAAACCGTTGATTGTTTTCAGTTCCGTTCTCAAGGTTGTAAAATTTGTCCATTGATTGTGGTGTCCTGTCTGTATCTACATATTTTACAGATTTCTCGTAAGCTTGTCTCTATCCCCATGGTACTCTGCTTTCTACCGGGGCCTAGACCTGCATCAGTAACGTTATGCATGATGTCTGCTTGCTGCTACACATGAGCGATGATGTTGTTCCGACTGGACGTTTTATGCCAGTATTGTCTGAGTGCACATTTTCATTCAAGTGCTTCTGTATTTTCTTTTCTTTTTTTATGTTTAAGACATTTGTGTTGGGTTCTGTCAGCTTGTTGTCTCCCTTTTTGAACTTCTGCTACACCGGGCTTGCATTATGGTATTTGACGTAATCCTGTGTGCTGATACACTGAGGGCAAAACATGTGCTGCTCACTCTTTCAGCTTCAGTACCTCCCACCACCTTGGGGAGATTGCAAGTCTACTCCCATAGACTCTGATTACTTCTCCACGTACAGCATCACTGCATGTCGCATCGACTGTGAAACACGGTACCTTCTGGAGAACTGTAACTGCAGGATGGTTCACATGCCGGGTATGAACTGAGAGTTACTTGACCAATAAAAAACCCCATAAATCTCTGTGCCCTCGTGTTGCATTTATAAATAAGTAATCATTTTCACTTTTATGTTGGTTCAAACAGGAAACACAGCCGTTTGCACACCTGAGCAGTACAAAGATTGTGCTGATCCAGCTTTAGGTGAGCGCACACACTTTTTTTTTTTTATTGGATTAAGTGTAAAATATTAGTGTGAGGTATTTGCATTAACAGCGGTGCCACAAGCTTGTTGTATCCTGTAGATACTACTTGTGTGAACCTTAACTTCAAATTACTTTAATTCCAGATTGTGCTGAAACAAAAGCAATAAAGTAAAAATCATTGTTTAAAAATCCCATTAGGAAGATTTGTGATGTGTCTGTGCTTCGCTGATATCAAATAAATCCTGCTGAGTTTTTTCCCCCCTTCCTCTGTTTTATGGCTTCAGTCATTATTTGCTTTCATGGAAAGTGAACGATGGCAGCGAATGTAGCTCTGTTGTGCGTTGTGTGGGATATTTTTAGCAGGGCCTCTGGATACAGGTTTGTTTGATTGTGATCGCAATATGAATGAAATATGAATTGAAATGACTTTGATCATCCACAGACTTTTTGGTAGAGAAAGACAACAATTACTGTGTCTGTCAGACCCCCTGCAACATGACTCGCTATGGCAAGGAGCTGTCCATGGTTAAGATCCCCAGTAAGGCATCTGCTAAATATCTGGCTAAGAAATTCAACAAAACTGAGCAATATATTGGGTAAGTATTATTAGCTAGTTATTTAGATAAAGGCCTCTTTTTCCTTTTCCTGTTGATGGATGGATGTACTGTGGTATAGCATGGTCTGAGTCTCCATCGTTCACCTTCAATGTAACAATAATGAATGATAGTTACGCAGGAGATGTGAGTTATCATTCGTTCTGTTGGGAAAATGGCCCTGGGGGAAATCTGATGGATGTGCTCGTGTGTGTCCTCTCTCCAGAGAAAATATTCTGGTGTTGGACATCTTCTTTGAAGCTCTGAATTATGAGAAGATTGAGCAGAAGAAGGCCTATGAAATTGCTGGACTTCTCGGTAAGATTCTTGCAGTTTCATATTTACTGTGAGAAAAAATAAATGAATAAATCTGACCTCAGAATCAGCACCCTCGGCGGGCATCCCCCCCCCCGCCGCATATTTCGCATATTGTGTTCATCCCTGGTGCTTTGAGGTTCCCTCTTTGAACTCGTGAAACAGGCTGAGCATGTTTTCATAATCTGATGCTCTTGCAAGGGCAGCTGCGTTTGTGAAGTTGGGGCTGGTTGGACAGTTTTGACAATTACGCTCAGATTCCTCAAAGAGATACAGAATTCAACGTGACAGCAAGGGGGAATGGTTTCACGCACCATTGTTTAATTACCCGTATCTGTTAATCTCTCCCTCTGTAGGTGACATTGGAGGCCAGATGGGGCTATTTATTGGAGCCAGTGTTCTTACAATACTAGAAATATTCGACTACCTATATGAGGTAAAGTCATGATCTTTGTTAAAGATTTCTAAGCAATAACTAAATGAATTCTTCTGTTTTTAGATCACATTAAATTCATTTTTAGTAACCTTTACATTTTTAAATTCAGTAGTAGAGAACTTATGGCTTTCTTGTGGAGTCTGGAGAGCTTAGCATAAAGCATAAAGTGTCTGCTACTTAACCTTTACATGCTGTTCATATTAGCTGCCTGCACAGTATGGTCTGGGTCAAGAATGGTCTCATAATAAGTGTTTATAACAAACTACAGATCTATTTAAAATCCAACAGTCCACATAGACAATCTCACCTCACAACAATCTTCTTGCTGTGAGGTGACAGTGCAAACCACATCCACTCTTTTACAGATTTAATGTCTGTGTTAGGGCACACTCTGACCCCTGTATGACCGCTGTTCCAATATATTGTCACTCCGGTGCAGTTTTACTATTTACTACTTTGAAATTCCCCCATGACTGTTCAGAGACCTTCAGGATTCCCTCAGAGACCAGAAAGTACCCGTCTCTCTGGGTTCCCCAGTATATGTTGTAGAAACACAGACAATTCTCATGACAGTGACAAGATTCCCATTGAACTCTGTCACCAGTGCCCACAAAGAAATGTCATGTACAATTTCACAGGTTTCTAAAACAACCATTTTCCTATATTTGACCCATGCTGGTGGATCCAACTCAGTAGATTCGATTTAATTCAGTTCAGTTTTATTTATATAGCACCAGGTCACAACGACAATTGCTTCAAGGCAAGCAAATGTAAGGTTACGATACTACAAACATGGATAATGTAATAAATGTAGTTAAACTGCAGAGATTCTGGTCAGATTTGACCCGGAGCACAAATGTAAAACAGTATAAAAGATATTTTCATTTTGGTGTATTTTGGTCTCTTTAGGAAAAGACATAAAATGTTTGTTTATCAGAAACACATCATATGTGATGTGAACAGTATGTATGGGTTAAAATGTTAAATTGGAAATAATTCTACTCAAAATATACCCAAAAGTATTCTTAACCTAAACATCTTAGACTTCAAGCTTTTATGCAATTTTTTTGTGCAAGATACGATGCTTCATCTTTATAGATGCTGTCAGCCTCAGTATTGATCCTCTTCACTCCCCAAGAAAGCAAACTATTGGATGTGTGAATCTGTAAATAATGCTTTTCTGATGTTTTTTAGGTGTTTAAAGATAAGCTTTTGGGTTACTTCATTCGCAAGAAACGGCCACAGCGCTGTCAGAGCGACAACCTGGTAATTTTTTAGTCCCTAAGAATACACTTGATCGAGTGAAGTGAATGTGATGTACAAAATAAGCTCAGGAACAATGGTCACAGCAACATCAAAATATCTGCTCACACTTGAAATGCTTTTAATGAACAGCACCAGAGAGAAAGCAAAGGCATTATGCCATCATTAGTTTCAATTAGCCCTGCAGAAACAAAATATTTTTCTAGAAAACACAATCATTAATCATACGCACATATTTTTACTGCACAGTGGGAATGCATAATTAGAGTAGTATTAGACGCATACAGTACTTTCTTTAAATGATGAGAAGCAGCATAAATTATTCCGTGTAATGACAAAAAATCTGGGATGCACATAAGTATTCCAAAAGAACAAATTGACTTTGTGCCCCTTTTCTTTTTAAGCTTTTTCCCCAAGTGTTTTGCCACTTAGTGCGCTTAAATCTCAGTGCATGGAGAAGTAGAAGTAAAGAGTTTGACCTGGTTTCTATTGGATTTTATTCATGACTCATAAACTCTGTTTATTGTCAGAGGTTATCTCATTTTATCCCACACACCAACCCAATTTTCAGTATTTCCACACTATATAGTAGCTTCTCAGCGTCACCCTCTTTTGTACTATTAAAGAGCTGTTATTGTTATCCGGGTTTTACCACCAAAATTCTAAAGAGATTTCATTAACATGGAAAAAACAAAGCAATGGAAACTGTAGTACTGCGAGGCATTTCAGTCATGCCCTAAATAACAGCATTTTCATCAAACCCTGTGGTTTAGCACGCTGCATCCAGAGGCATCTCCACTCCTCCTGTTATGCAAGTTAGGAAATGATTAATAACATACACACATCGTTTTAGGATTAGCAATGAGCTGTTGTTCAGGACATAATGTTAAATCAAGGCTTATAACATATAGAAAGATAGATTTTAATCACTACAGTTACACCCATGCAAATAGTGGGTGGTTTTCATATTTATCTAACCAAAATTCTTGAATCAACAAATTATTGCATAACGTAGTTTAACTGCATGTACTTTACTACTTCGCAACACTTGCTGTGAAAATATCAGTGCATTAGACAAGTGCTAAATACCTTCTGTCAAGCTATAAATCGATTTTATTGATCATATTGTGCGTAATGCCACTCTGAAAGAGTTTCAAAAAGGTAGAGGTATAAATACAACAAAGTCCAGCTTTCTTTGTGTTTGCTGGCTTGACAGAACTTAAAACGCCAGTGGTTATCGGCTTTCTCTGTTAACCTGAGCATTCTGCACCATTCTGTGTCCTCAAATAAAAAGGGGTGTTTGACACGGCAAGCGAGTCTTTGTGCACACAAAATGCTGCCTACTCCTGTCAGAGATGTTAATAGATGATGATGATGATAATATAGTGGTAAATATCTATAAAGAACATAAAAATATAACAGTAAAATGCAACACTCTTGCAAATAAGACAAAAGACTAATGCTGCAGAAAATCGTTAAACTGGTGATTTAACGCACAAAGCAATAAAATAAACATTTTACCACTGAAATAAACAGCTGCTGTTTGTTTCTAATGCGACCGCAGCACATTAGAGCTCTGAAGCTTTAAACTAGACACGTTTAAACATTAAAGGTTTCTGTCCCATCGCCTAATAAAGGAGACTTCAGTGCTTTAGTTTGTCAATAGATCAAAGTGAAATTAACTTTATTGACTGAACAGGTATTCTTGGTGTGTTGCAGCTGCAGTTCCAGCATTGTAAACGAGATTTAGCAGCAGATTAGGATCACCTGTAAAACGTTATTTCTCTTTCAGCAACATGGAAATTCAAGTGACAAAGGGATGCACAGTTTGCATTGCAGCAACTTTACACTTTCATTTGTGATGTTAGCTAAACAAGTTGCACATATGAAATATATTTTACCAGCAGATGCGGTTCACTTAAAACACGCTCCTCAGCCAGCCTAAATATTTTAAACCAAGAAAACTCGGAATCTGCTGATATCCATGTTACCACGGTGATTTAGGCAGGTAAAAAAAAAAGCTACTTGACATAGAAAACTCTGACTTTTAGCTCGACATAGCTCCCTAAGCCATGGGTCTCACTTTGTAGTGCACACCTCAGGACTGGTTTAAGTTTTACCTCTTTGATAGCCAGGAAGCTTCTTCAGGCCTTATAGTAAATTGTTGAAGTCTTTAGGAGAACTGCATGTTAAATTAACTTGTCTGAAAAGTATATACAATCAAAAGTAGTAGTAAATGTAATGTATCAACCTTTCTACTTTAGCTGACCGGATATATTTCTGCTTGCAGTATGGTAGCCAAAAATATTTTTTAAAAATCCACATTTTCTCAAACTCAACGTTCACTGAAAATAGAGCTTGGTATAAGAGTATAAATAGTGTACATTTTTTAGTATCATCATTTTTTCTTTATATTTAGAATTCCATTATCTATAAAGCTACTTGAGCTAGGTTCTTTGATATTTTTAAGGCAAATATCAGATACTTTCAATGTGGAATCTCAGGGCTGTAGCTCAGGTAAACTTGAGTGATGGGCGCTTGAAGTCCCTAAAATATCTGGATGCCTGATCTGTGACAGCAGTTTCGGAGACTGGTAGAAACTACAGTTTTCCAGATGTGAGGCTGATTTTGGTTCATGTCTTGGAAATATTACAATGAATTTTGGTGAAATTGCGTTTTTTCCATGTTTAAGCTTTAATATGTGTGGAAGCCTTTATCTGATTTGGACTGTGCTGCATAATCTTATGTGCTCTGTCTGTATATGAGAGAAGCCATAACTAAAATATCTGTCCCCTACCTGCAAAACAATGTTTTTACAGGCCTCAAAATATGCAGTCAGAGATTGGGCATCCAAATATTATAAAGGATCTATCTTTCTGTTAACTTGAGCTACACTGCAGAGAGTCGACCTTCACAGAGGTAGTTGCACTAAAAGAATTTGAAGGAGCTAGCTCAACAGGTTTCCTAGATAATGGAATTTTTAAAACAGCCCCTTAAAAACGATTATATAAAACATCTAACAACACTACCTAGTTACGGTAGGGACCTGTCGTTTATGTATTTTAGCTAATGAAATCAGATAAATACCTACCTGCAACATCTCTTCTTTTCTGGTGCTGTCATAATGAAAAGCATTTAAGCAGATTTTTGTTAAGTGCAGAAATTGCCTTTTGTCCCTGAGTTTATTCAATCTGCCAATTTGCATTCCTTGGCTTCATGCTGGAAATGAAAGCTGTGCTCTCTGTCATACATTATTAGAGGTAAAAAGACAGCATGCAAAATAAGTTGTGGCCAAGTCTGTCTTCAAATCTGTTTGAAAGTTGTGGTTTTGTTTCTGCATGAGGGCTGTGCTCTTGCATGCTTGGGTCAGTATTGAGTTTGTTAGCTGTTGTAGAGGAAACGATCAAATATATGTTTAATGTCTTTTACAAAAGTGGAAGTTTATAGATTTTAAACAAAAATATCAATCAGTTTAGTCATTTTTTAATTAAGAAAAATACTAAAACAGCAGGAAAGAAAGCTTTCATTTAGTGGGCTGCACTCAAGCTTTTATAGTGTTTTCTCTTCTGCACTCTGCTCCATTCATGTCATATGTTCACCTCGTTACAATAAACCATCCTCTGTACTTCTTTTTTCTCACATTTAATTATATTTTTTCAACTAGTTCACTGTCACATCTCCACTCAGACAATCTGTTAATGAAGCGCTTTAATTGTTCAAGAGACATCCTTCTGGGTGACACTGACTTTAGCCTTCCCTGCTCATTAAGAAACCCCCTCATATTTCATTTTGAACGATCATCTTCCTTCAGTGCTTTAATGATATCACCGTGTTCCCTTGGGAGTTTAACTGATAGCATTTACATTGTATTTTATTTTCATTTCAGTCACCCTCACCCATCTTTCTTTTCATCATGTCTATTCCAGGAGTTTCCAGAGAACCCAACCAGCCCTGGTGTCACGCCTAATCATGCCCCCAGGTAGCACATCCCATTGATAATAGATGCTCCCTCCCATGCTGTCCCTCTCTTTCATACATACTTGAGATCATCACATTCATCATTTTCTCCATGGTTACAAATGATTTGGTTGGCAGTCAACAAAAGAGAGGGGTGATTATCCAGCTGTAGCGAGCACTTTTAATATCTGCCGCCGTGTAAGAACAGGTTAGTTGTTGTCTGCTTTGACAGAAGGGTGCTGGGCCGAAAGAAGGCTGAAGTTGGTTGGATTCTCCAAGTGCATAAAGATCTTATTCTCTGCAAAACTTGTTCCTTCCACCGAATAATGATGCTTTTTTTTCTCCTCGTAGGATAAAGTGTACTCCTGTGAAAGCATATCACATATTTATTGAATTGCACAAAAACTCTGAACAACATGAGATCTATTTGTTTCCCTGCAGCACTAAGGTCTATTTAGAGGCAATGCATTGGAAGGTCCGAGCCAGATAACATCACTAGATGCATTACTTTGTGATGTTATCGCAGGCCTGCATGCAGTGAGTTTGCACAAAGATAGAAGGTTCTTTGTCGATGGGACTACCGGTGTTTGTTATCCACATATCTGCAGTTATCTGCTAAATAAGGGCCTTTGTACATGACGAAAAATGCAGACATATGTGGATGTTACTACTTGCATAACTATCAGAATTACACATGCTAGTGTAAAACCAGGACTAAAAATCTGCTGTTTTCTTTCTCTTCTCCCTCCTTTCATTCATCTTACCCCATCATCTTACCCCCTCAATTTATCTTCTCATTACATATGAAACATATGCAATGTGGCTGATGTCGAAACCCCTGAATCTGTTGTACTCTTTGCCTCATCATTGTGCACATATGTTTCTGTCATTCATTATCCTTTCATTCACAATCATTCCCCCATTTTTTCCTGTTTTTGATCAATTTCTCCTTGTTACATTGTTTGTTTTTTCTCCCCTCTGCATCCCTCTACGATTGTATTGGCTGCTCTCCTTTTTACCTGCGGCTCATTTATTTCCTCCATCATCGGCATCATCATCGCTCCCTGCATCGCTCCTCCCTTAACCCGGTTGAACTCGTCTCCCCTCCTCCCCTCCTCTCTGTTTCTTGCAGAGCACCTGTGACACCCTCCGGAGTCACTCGGACAGTCTCGGATTCACCCCGAACATGTTACCTCGTCACCCGACTATAGGCAACTTTGAGGAGTTTGCTTGTTGACAACATAAAGCAGGGGTTGGGGATGGGGTGGAACATCTGGGTACTTGACAGCAAACTGTGAAATCATTTTAACAGAGAAAGGCTCTTGAGTGTATGCTCACAAAATGCGTAGTACAGTTTATCAATGCCTGAATAGAAATAGAATACTATCATCAGAAACAAAAGAGACCACTTCCAAAACACAACTCAGGTTTAACTGCCATGTCAAGGCATCCATGTTAATTTACTCATGTTTCATTCAGTAGATTTGTTTATGTTATCGAGTATACAATACGTGAGGATAAACGTGTTCAAAAAGAGGAATCTGAACTGTGTTGCGATGAGTCATGTGGTACTGCTGTGCTAGTATTGATGTACATCAATCAGTCTAGTTATAAAAAAAGCAACAACAAACGCATGTGGATTTGTATGTGTAGCAGCGTTTATCAGTGTTATGCCTCCAGCATCTAACCAATGCTGTATTGAGTGACCTTATAGCAGTCACGTTTTAACGGAAGAGCCTTTTAGACATCTGCTCCACTTTTAATGAGCTGATTGTTGACATGAATTAAAACACTAGACTAGTGTTGAATGTTGCCTTTTGCTACTATGGGGCTTTAATTTGTCTTTAATTAGACATGTGTGCTTACCCACCTTTGAAACACGAGAGGAACTTGATGATTTGTATATATGCTGTTTTAAGACTCCTGAATTACATGGTTTTGTTGACTTTAGGCTTTTTTTAAGACAGTGAGGGTAAAAAAAAAGAAGTCAGAAGGCAAAAAAAGGCAGTTGATTGTACTGTTATATTTCATTTTCAGTCATATTTCCATTTCTTTATATAGTTGCTGCAGAAATTGTCCCCATAAAAGCTGGCCCTGTTTTCAGTTGAATTCGCTCCAACAGAAACAATCTGAATTTCTTTTGCCTTTCCTAATAGTTCAGTTGTTTTCATCACAATGTCTTAAAGATTCATCAGCACAATCCCCTGTGATAGTAATCTATTCTCTATTGAAAATGCTGTGAGTTTAAAAGGCTTGCTGGTGACATTCCTAAACTTGACAGAAATTTGTAAATACCCACAATCAAATGCCATGAAGAAATTCTACATTGCTCATGTGAAACATGTCATATATACATATAAATATAGATATATAAATTTAAAATACAAAAAAAAAAAAAATCTATCTTTCTTCATCCGTTCTTACACCACAAGGAATTTGGACTTTCTATCTAGGTGGACCGTCAAGTGTCTTTGAGTACAACATGGATGGCAGACTTTATTAGGTACAAGAGACTTTGCCTCAATACATCTACAACTCACTGCACCTCAGCCCCATTCAGTTGATTTATATTAGAAATGCATTGTAAAATTTTACCATTGTAACCTATTATTATTACGATTATTATTATTATTATTATGATTACAGAATATGTAATAAGTCACAAATAACAGTTTGTGATGTATAAATGATCAAGTATAATAAACTCTATATTTACTCATCTTACTCCTCATGTACACAACTTTTCTTCGAACCTTCGTGTCAGTCTACTTCCTTTCTCGTTTAAATAACACAGAGCGTGTTATTTAAATATTTCGGTTATGATTTGTAGGTACTATAAATACTGGGAACCTTTTTTTCGTGAAACTTTCATGTATAACGCCAGTCAAGTGAGTGGTGTTCATAACTCTGTAGCTTTATTACTCTGTTGTCTGTGTATTAGATGACTGTTGATGTGAAGCACAAACCCTTGGAAATCAGCCATCACTGGAAAGCCAATGACTGGGCGTCTATCGTTGTAACTACCTTTTCTGGCTCTAGATTTAACTACACACACTGTTATGTGGTGTGCTCACAGCTCCGGCGTTATCAGGAACAAGACTGGTAATTTAAGCGGAGCCAGAGAGCACCTTGTGGAAGGACTTAATCCAAATGGAACTTTTGCCTTTCAGGAAGCAGACACTAAGAAAAAAAGGGTTAGTCAGTGGCATTGTGTTACGAGCAATAAATGCACTGAATCAGACAGCACTGTTAGCAAACTGACCAGAAAAAGATTGATTGAGGATCCAAATTATCAGTTTGTGATGTATGAAACAGTTACGATGGATGTAAACCGAGCAGCTGCCGCCTGCAACAATGATGTATGATATGACAAATAAACCATCATGAACTCAATAAGAGACGCAGATGCCAATTCATGTTACACAATGATCCTCCTCTGATGCTGTATTGCCATGATGATTTTGAGTGTGTGTGTGATGCTGCTGGGCTACAAGTGACCCAACATTACCGCAAACTGTGGAGATATGAAGGCTTTACCTCTCTCTCGCCCCACCCCCTGCCTTACTACCAGTCAAAGAAGCAGTAGAGTGCATCTGAGCTGGCAGAAAATATTCCTTAACTATTTATTCTCATTAACTAATCTTTCATGGATATTTACAGCATAGTTACGGCCAAGTAGAAAAAAAAGTTCACTATATATTTCTGCCACTAAATACCTGAATTTGATTGATTTTATCCTAATAATTTACAGCACATCACCCATTTTCTTCCTTGCATGTGTATTCCTATTATCTCTGATCTATTAATGTAATATTAGCTATGCTATTCACTTTGTACTGTTCAAAGCGTATTTTCTTTGGAGTCAGATGAATCAAAACAGCGTTCTCCACATCCTGCACTACAATGTCCTGGATATTATGATTACATTATGATGTAAGAATCCTCCTCTAACCAGGCTTGGGACTGTGCAATACACAGAAGAATAGTTTTTGTGGCTTGATTAAACTGTGTGGCTTGAAATCAAACTAAAATGTGCCTTTAAGACAGGTTCTTACAGGTAACAAAGATTTTCCTGTGCCAACACACACATAGACACACACATACACACACCTGGAGAACAAGAAGTTGTTTCATCTGGCTCTATATGCTATATGTGCATTTTATTGTAGATATGTGATTTTAACTCTAAGCTGTACATTAAATAGTTAACACACTTAACTATGTGTAACGTAGTCAGTTTTAAATAAAACTGTATTGGATGTTTGTTTGCTTTTTAAACAGTACTTACAGAGGATGTTATGTGCCAGCAAAAAAAGGTAACATCCAGCTTAAATAAACCTGATAAAGTCTACAGTGAAGCTAAAGCACAACAGAATATTCTAAACGGGTAACAAAGGAGAATAAATACTGCAAAGGAGGGTTTTTTTTTTTTTACCACTAGTGGTAATATGATAGTAGTTGTTTTGCCTCTGTACTCTATCACAGTGCATTTTAAATCACACAATAGAAGTTTCCAGTTTTAATTCAAGGGATTTTAGAGAAAGTTTCCCCATTAACTGTTATAATATGTGATTGAAGTGCAGACTTTCTCTGCAACAAAAGTTTTACATTAGCTGTTGAGAAATTACAGCCATTTTTAGACCCTAGTTTTTTCATAGGATATCAGTAATTGCACAAACTATCATCATTTTAATGATTGTTTTTAGCACTTAGATGAAACTCATCTGGATTCGGTGACTGCCTGAAGTCTAGTCTGTGCCATTTATTTATGTTTTATTCAGTTTGTGCATCTCTCTGCATTCTCTTTGTATTTCATAACTGAAAAGGATGCTCCCTTAGGTTGAGATCAGATCTCACGTTCAAGTTAACCTTGGATTTAAGTGATTAAAGGTTGTTTTCTGGAACTGTGCAGGCTCTAGTGGTATTCTGGCAAAGCCTAATCTAGCCTTCTTGTTCTTGAGTGTAACCAATGGTTTGTACCCTTGTTGGCCAATCCAATCATTCGTTTTAAGAACATAGCTAACTGTTGATTTGGTCTCTCTGAAAGGTTTGTTTTTCAGCCTAATGATGATGTCCCTCACTTGAGCTTCAGATTTACAATTACAGTAACCTACGATACGAAACTTTAAATTGACTACTGATATCATGTTTGTTTCCTTTGTCAGGTGAACAGGCCTCACCTGGCAAAGAAACAGCTCGTCAGTCAACTGTCCAATTAATTTTCACCCTCTAAAAATGGGGACTGTGTATAAAAATAGCTGTAATTCGTAAACAGTTCACGCAAAACTTTAAAAAACAACTTGAATTAAAGCTGAGAGCCTTTACTGATTGATTGAGACGCCACTGTGACGGTGTGAAGAGGCAAAACTACAAAAATTATGTTTGTCCAAGAAATTATGGACCTTACTGTATAATTATTATACCCACACTCCTGTCCATTGTGTGTGAAATCAATCACAATTATTTGGAGAGTAATAATAATTATTCGTGTGTCTGGAGGGTGGAATTGCACTCTTTTTAAACCTCAGTGATGTACAAGGTGAGACATAAAGAAACCCGTTTCAACACATGGAATCTACAAGAAAATGTAGAAAAACTGAAAAATGTATTTCAACCTTTACGAACACCAGCGTTATAACCAAATTTACCTTAAGTGGCACTGATTATGCAAAATATTATTTTATTGTATAATGCAGTATTGCATTATTAATGTGTGGTTTTGATATAGGCTGGAGTTCTTTCATATTTGCCTCCAAAATGTATTGGACTATATATTAGAAGCGTGGCAGCAGAAGAACATGAGAAGTATACAGCACTGAATAACATGTATTTAGTTCTACTGTCCAGTGATTTTCATTATAGATGATTGTAACGTCTTCTCATCTAAGGTGTGCACTGCTACAGGATCACTCTGTCAATAACTGTGCACAAAATGACATGCTCCTCCCCCCCAAATTACTGAATAATCAAGCAGGAAATTCATTTTAAATCAAAGCAAACTTGTATTTATGTTGACTTTACTGAATACTGAGTCTTATCAGCTGAAATATACATAAAACATTTGCCCCACAGTCTACCAGCAAAAGCAGAGACTAGACAAAGTGCAAAATCCACTCATCGTTCAAATTCAATTTTAAGCCGTTTAAATGGTAAATGTTCTGCAAATGTTCTGTCAATACAAGTGCATGAGTGAAAACATGTTTTGTTTTTTTCATTATAACTTAATCCACACGCCCACACAACCTTCAAACATTTGAAAATCCTAAAAAGAGCCTGCAAAACACAATAGACTGGAGCATACTCAGATCATTCGAAGAGTTTTTGTACTAAATGAAAGTGCGCTACATTTAAAAAAATAATAAAAAGTGGATATTCCATCATTAATAAATACATGCATCAATTTTTTTGTTTTACATCAGCGAAAAGAAAATGAACCCCTTTCCTATTAAGACAGCTACTTCAAACACAGCTCATTATGGATGATTTCTATGGGATGACTAGAAGCTCTGTAACAATCATAAGCAAAATAATACTGCGAGCTGTTAACCATGTTATTAAGTAACTGAAATGGAAACAGCTAATGGTGCAAAAACAGTTATTACGCAAAAATACAGATTATCAGCAGATTATCTGGGTTTGTTTTTCCATTTTTAACAACTGTTAGAAAAGCATTTGAGAAAAGTGTTAGTGTCATGGTGCTAGAAATGTAAAAAACAAATAAAAATGTTCAACAATGGTCCACTAGTCATTAACACATATATATTAGCCCATTTACTGTTAATTGGTATAATCCTGGCTGTCAGTGTTCAACGTATTTTAAGGTAACGACAACTAAACAATCGGAAATAAAACTATCACAAAGTGCACAAAAGATAAATACAAAATGAGAAAATAAAAGCCTGAGAAACAGAAATGATCAGTTAGCCTCTCGTGCTATCCAAAAATCTTGTAATAGGTAATTGGAAAATGAGTTTTAGCGTTGGTATGTAAAATATCAGAAAACACAAAAGTGCGTACAGCCCAAGTAATCAAAACGGTCTCTAATTGTCTCACTGTTTTCTACATTGTTGCCAGTCAGTTTTTAATTTGGTACTAGCTGTAGGAAAAAAGGCTCATTTATTCAACAGATACACTTACAGTTAAGTCTGATTAACAGCTAACATTACCTAATGAGTAAAAAGAGTGATTAAGGTAATTAAATTTAGCTTTTAACTGGGGGGAATTCCCATTTCCCTTTGATTATTACCAAATGACATATTAATATTCAGGAAGCCCCCACGGAAGCTTTTTGAAAGCTTGTGTTACAAAAACATTGACTTATGCCTTAATCATTTTCAAATGAATAGCATGACTCTAAAGCCCACAAATCTATTAATGCAGTCTAATCGTAAACGGAAGCTCTGTAGCATCAGTGGCCTCTGGAATGTGTTAAAAATATTAAATCAGTAAATGTATATATGATGGCTAATAGGTAAACAGCTGTACAGACATGCCACATAAGAGTATGAGATCATTTAGAACGCCACCATTAAATTAGTCTGTCCACACATCTCAGCCATATGTTTTAATAACCAGATTCAGGTGGTCAATATACCATCACATATTGTAAACTTTCAGATATAAATATTGGAACTGGCATCAAAACCTCTACAAATGATAAGACTTCAAATCTGCTTTGAAAACAAAAACATAATAGAAACAATATATTTACAAAGGCTTTTTAGGGGCTACTGTACTGCACTACAATTGTAGTTATTCAAAGTGAATTCACCAAATGAGATTACCACAGATTCTAACGGCCATTTTTAATTATGATATACCGCTTTCACACGTATAAGGTTTATGCGGTCCAACGTCGTCCCACATTTGTGCCAATTAACTGGAAAGTGTGTATGTGCCAAATTAAAAATAGGCTTTCAACTTAAAAGAAGCTAATAAATCCTTGCAGCGACACCAGGACTTTGTTCCTCACAGAGGCACAACAGAATGAATAGCAGGGGGAGTGTTTGAAAATCCAGTGAGGGATTTGCCTTGTTTTGAATTTTTCCTGAAGTCCCAAAAGAGAGCGGGGATGGTTGATTCTGGCAGCTGACGTTTATCGAGAGGCAGTTAAGCATTTATGGTGGGCAGAAATCAGCAAAGTAAGGATGCTGTAAGGCCTCTTCTGCAGAGATCCTCTGGACAGGATTACATTTCAACAGGTTCTGGGTGAGATCAAAGGATAGATTTTAAATTAGTGATTAGCAGTATCAGATTTCCTACAGCAAAACTTTTAGCTGGGTTAATCCATCTCAAATCATCACATTTTTTAAACATTTTTTGCTTCTTTTTTTTTCCATTTTTTATTTATTTATTCTTTTTAAATATTCTGCCTACCCACTTCCTGCATTTTTTTCCCCAACACTTTGGAATCCAAGGCCATTTTAACATATCTAAAAACTATCAAATAGTTTAAAATTTTCACTGGCCTCCTTTACTATAAATACAAATTATTGAATATTTGCTAGTCAAACTTAAAATAAAAGGTATCATATTTGAGCATATACTAAAAAATATATTATTGCAAAAGACATCGAGTGACAATTTTTTAATGTTATGTAGATGTTTTTCACAGTAATGGAAAATAAACATGAAATTCTTTTGTCACAAAAATAAACCAATTTTGTCATCGAGCGAATGTGACAAGTTACACCACAAAAATGTCACTAGACAGTCTAATCTAAATACAAAAAATTCTGGGGTTTCCAAGGGGTACTCTAATTATAACTGAGAAAATAATTTTGTTAAATATAGGCTTATTTTTGCATTTTCGCAACCCACTTTGCAGGCATGCACATTGCCATGAAGGAGTCAGATTTAGTTTAAAATGTACTAAGAGGCAATAAAAAATGCATAAACTATAATTGCAAAAGATTTTGTTCATAGAAATTAATATAGCAGCATAATTAGGAGTGATAAAGAAGGGATTAATAGCTCATTTCATGTGAGGAGCCTTGCAAGGCCAAGTTGCTGTGTCCACATGGAACAATATGGTTAGGGTAGTCTGATACAAGACCCTTACCCTCCAACCCAGCCATGACTGCAACAGGCAAACAGGGATCATGCTATCCTCATGATGACCATTGTAAGAATTGCAATATTTATATATATAATTTTGCATTTTTATGTTAACATATTCACGTCCAAATATTGCAACATATTTCAACATGTGAAAAAAAACATGCTAGAATTGGACCAATCATTTTTCAAAATTGGGGTGGAAAAAATACAACAACAACGAAAACACACACACACACAAAACACCAATCTGAAAATTATCAAGTAAAACTTTACTAAAAGTTGTCTAAAGTTTTTCAGCAAACTGGAGGTGACTGAGCAGAAGGCCCACAATGATTTTAGATGGAATAACCCAGCTACAATAACAGATTTCCATCATTTTACTGTAGCCACTCAAATATTGCGCAAATTTGTTTTAGAGTACCTGAAGTAGATCCCGTCCTGTGCTACTTAATTTAGGGACCACATTAACCAGTGAGGTGGTGGCAGGATACATGGGATATGGCTAAAGGAAGAAAAAGAGTTTGTAAAGAATAAAAACAATTCAGTAAAAGCTCAATGCACTGGAAGTTTTACAAAAGAAATTACATCAAAAAAACTACCTTGTAATCTGGGAGTTTTGTCATTGTTGGCCACTGTTCTTCAGTTGGTGTTCCCAACAATGTACAGAGCAGTTAAAGACAAACTTTTAACATTACTTTTAAGACTTGCTGTTCATAAATAATTTAAATATGAGTAGTTCTGCCCGAACAAACCAGAGACCCACATACCAAACTGTATATCGTCAGTAGGTACTGCATTAGCATGAAAAGGATATCTGAAAATTCTTTTCAACTGGTCATCCACATCATTCCCGGGGAATAAAGGCCTTCCAGCATTAGCCAGCTCTGGAAAAATAAATAAATAAATGGCATCAAATTAAGTTACCATTCAAAACATGAACACAAAAAAACAACTAACTATCCTTTAAAGATGCTGGCCTCAACCACTACACAATATGACTGTTTACTTAAATGTTGAGTGACTTTAAAGAAGACTAGACAAGAAAGCAGGGGGAGAGAGCAGGGACAAGCGGCAACTCTTTAACTTAAATCTTTGTTTGCACATTTATTACTTGTATATAGTATTACATCAATTATTTTGTTACTTTATTGATAAAGTAAGAGCTTTACTTTACATAGAAAGATATTTTTATCTTATTAAAATATTGATTTTTATTTATGAAAGGAAAAAACAAGCCATCCATATTAGCCTCTTATTGTACAATATAAACATTCTGTTTATTTATATGTACGAAGGACAATGACACTATTTCTGCATAGACTTCAAAGGCCTTTGGGTTGGAGTTGAATCCAGGCTGCTGTATTTAACTTTGTAACTTATGGTCACCTGCTCACACTGTGACCTGAACTGGAACCTTCAAAAGTAATACTTTAAATATTAATAATACTGTAAAATAATATGAAACTACCAGAATCCTAAAAAGAGATACATTTGTGGTCTTACCACCCAGCACCAAATTATTGGATTACTTGTTTAATTTTATCCTCATTTGATTCCACAAACCACACACACAGACCTGCAAATATGCATCCAGCAGACCACATGTCGATAGAGGTAGAGTAAAGTTTGGCTCCAAACAGCACGTCCGGAGGCCGATACCACAAAGTCACCACCTAAAAACAAATCAAAACAAAATATATTATCACAACCAGACTAATCTTAAAATAAATGTTGGGCATAATGATGGCTCTCTGAGGTGGGTTTTACATTTGGTGTGTTTCACAAAGAAATTACTTTGGCAACACTGTTACTAATACTGAATGGCATATTTAAATCTCCCTCTGCTTTCCACCACAACTTGTTGGCATTTTAAAAAGCTGCTGCTGTGTCACACACTAATTTTTCCAAGGACTTATGAAAATGAGTCGCCTGGAGGGCACCGCAGGAGTAAAAAGGACAAAAAAAAGAAAATCAAATGCAATTATAGAAAAATTCCACTTTTCAGAGCAAATGTGTGGGCTGACTGCAAGTGACTATGCTTCAGTTTAAAAAGTGCAAAAGTTCACCTTAGTAATTGTTGTGCAAATTACTAAACATGACTACCTGCTACAAAACAACTACTAACTTTTCTTTTTACAAAACTTATACTTGTAGAGCTTCCAGCTAGAAAAGGATTTCAAGTTTTTGAACTACGACAAATGAAAAAAGTACAGTGTTGTTAAGTCCTTGCTTCTAAATATGATAAAACTGGCTTTTATAGGGGTTAGCTGAATAATATTGTGGATAAAGTAAAAACTTAAAAAAACAAAAACAAACCCTATACTACGTTTAAGCTGCTCGTACTATGTACATTATATAGTATGTCGATGTAACAAGAAGCAACTGTGGAAGCCACAGAGCAATACATCCTCTTAAATGTAAATGATATTTTAAAATCTCAATGCTTCAAACTCAGGTCTCCACTAGATTTTCTGTTTATTACATTTTCAGATCAGCAGCGTCAACCTGGGTCAAAATCCCCATGAGAATTGTTTGCCAGGTTTTTAGGTAAGTCTCGCCCGTCATTTCTCTCAAAGCTTTAGCAATAACAAAAATCAAACACCCACATGCTGAGACATGCGTCACTCCATTTCATCATTAATTAAACAAATTAATTTGAAGATAAAAGAAACAACTTGACGACTTTAACTGTGTGCACATGAGAGACTGCAAAGAAAGCACATTTTAAAAACGAAATAAAACACTGAAAAAGTTGAAGGGAATCTACTGGTTAGATGTAAATACTGTGCTATATTCTGGCTCCCTTTTATATTTAGATCTTAAGGTAATTAGGTCAGTGCACTTCTCAAACAAAGCTGGAAGCTTTCATTTTACTCAGGAAGAGTGGTTTTGTTTTAAAAACTGAGATAGTATGTTTCATCATAAGATTGTTAACCTTTTGGATACCAATACTTCTTGGAAAGCCAGCTTTAAAGTATTCTTACACCATTAGTTTACACAACATTACAAATAAGTTGTCCTCTCTTTAGACACAGCAGGTGCCAAAAATTGTGCTTTTAACACTGGTCATATGTCTTTAGTTTAAAGCAGTGAGCTGTTATTACCTTCTGCATTAATGATGTATAACCTACCTCTGCTGAGTAACACCTCACAGGAATTCCAAAAGCTCGAGCCAAACCAAAGTCAGCCAGCTTCAGCTCTCCGTTCTACAGACAGATAAACAATTCTTACTATAATTATCAAAGCATATAAATGGATACATGTCTGTATCCACATTATCACCTCCCTGAGTCAATCTAACAAAATTTTGACGTTAATACGGCAATATAAAAACCTTTGTTTTTTTTAATTTATTCTAAATCCCACTACTTTTGAATTATATTATGTATATTATCATTTCATCGTCGCCCCGTGAATGCAATCTCTGTATCACACGTGGTAAACTAAGACACTAGTAAGCTGCAGTGCTCAAATGAATGAACTTCAAAACAAAAGATATTACACAGAATCTCAATGATAAACTCAGTGGTGCTTGTTTTCACAAAGAAAACCAGTGTCCATCTCACTTAGTTTTCACTTTAAAGAAATAGTATACTGATGGAGTCCACACAGCAATGAATGTTTATCAGCCATCAAGTCCAAATGCACCTAAACACTCACTCTGTTGATGAGGAGATTCTGCGGCTTCAGATCTCTATGAAGAACATTTCGACTGTGACAGAAAGCAAGGCCTTTCAACAGCTGGTACATGAATGACTGTACAGGAAAACAAACAGCATCAACAATATGGAGTTAATTTGAAATTTTAAGCAAAAAACAGGCTTTTAAGCAGTCAGGTTTACATAGTTTAAATGCTCTTCATGTTTATGTCTCACCTTCACAGTTTCAGGATCTAGATCCCCGTTGCAGCTGTCGAAATACTTCTTCAAATCCTGCAGCAAAGAAGAGAGACATATTAGCCTCAGAAGGTACATATTAAGATATAGTGCGTTTTAGGGGTGATCAACTCACCTGATCACAGTATTCAAAAACCAAGGTTAACTTCTTGTCACTGTGCAAAACGTCATGTAGTCTAAAAAAGGCAAAATAATATTCTGTTGGTGTTTGTTGACATCAGGGTTACATGCAAACTGGAGGCATTCAGCTCTTCTGTCAGACTTACCTGACAATGTTTTTATGTTTCAGTTCCTTCAGAAGACAAATTTCTCTCAGAGCAGAACTAGGCACCCCCTAAAAGATTATTTTTAAAATTTAATAAAACAAAACAAACAGCTTCCATTTAGTACTAGCCTGCTAACCACTAGCTAACAAACACTGTGACTCTCATATCATTTTATAAAGAACAAACCTCGTCGTCGTCGTCCAACCTGACCCTTTTCAAAGCCACAATTTCATGGGTTTCCCTGTTTTTTGCCTTAAAAACGGTCCCATACGTACCTATGGAGCAGACAAAATTTATTTAAACCACATATCCCGATGAATGGGCACAGCTAAGGGGTCCTAATATTAGCTCGCTACATGCCCACCGTTAGCTAGCGTTAATATAGTAAAAGTGGAAGGCAGAGCTCTTCGGACTGGCACTGTTACTAGCACATACTAGTGCGAGTAAAAACTCGCAATGTTTCCATGTGGTTAACTGGGGCATACATCAACGAATACATATTGCTTACAGATTAGCTAACTTTAGCCTTCGACCTGCATGAATGCTACATTAGCATGCTAGGCTAACTAATATCAACCTTGCGAAATTAACCAAAACGAAAGTCTGAAACTTACCCTCCCCGATTTTTTCAAGCTTTTCATATTTCTGCATGTTTGGCCAGTGAAGCCAGCCTCGAATACGTTAAAAAACCAACGAATGACAACACCCCAAATTGGGGTGAAAAGAAAATGTTATTGTAGCTAGCGTTAGCTTAAATCTGTCTACTATGCTGCTGCTCTTCGGATTGCAGCCGAGCATGTCTTGTTTGTCATCTACAGGCTGAAAGTCGAATTACAGCAACCTTGAAACTAATCTGCTATAATGAACAACATTTTAACAAGCAGAATTTCGTGTCCTTAAAAAACATCATTTGTGAAAATCGTGTAAAACGCAAGTTTATGTACAAAAGTAAAGTAATCCATAATAGCCATTAAAGCTCATTAAAGATGGCTCATTCACAGAGGTGTTGCTGCAGACAAAGTGATAATATGAACATGGTAGAGATGTGATTATCTGGGGCGATCATTACTAACATAATCTTAAAGTGCAAATGTATTCTAGGAAGTTGTGAGACTGTTAATTTCTTCAGTAGACTTCCAATATGGCCTAATATATATGTGTAGTGATGTAAACACAACTTTATGGCGATATTAATTTTATGTCCTTTGTGATGTGATCAGCAAACAAGCCCATTGTTGGGAATACTGATTGCTATTGTTTATTATTACAAAAGAATATGTCAGCACATACAGCTGCAATCCCTAATTTTTTGAACAAAAGAACAATTTTTTGGTGTTTCCTCTATACACCACAGCAGTGGATTTTAAATCAAGCAATCAAAATCAAGCTGCATATTTCCCGCTTTAATTAAAGGAGTTTTTACAAACGTTTTGCATTCACTGTTTAATTACAGGCATTCTCTATAGTCACCCATTTTCAGAGGCTTAAAAGTAATTGGACAATGGATTGACAAGCAGTTTCATAGCCAGGTGAGGCCTGTTCCCGTGTTCTGTCATGATAAGTGAACAGGACATAATATCCAAACTTGATTAAACGTTTTGAGATTATATTTTAAAGCTTTTTGCTGTAATTTAAAATATGAGACTCAGAGATGTTAGAGCAAGTGAAGAAGGCTATCATAAGGCTAAAAAGGACAATAAATCAATTTTAGGGGAGGCCAATAGAATAGAATAAATCTTTATTGTCACTGATGTAAGAACAATGAAACACAGTTTGGCATCTCTCTGTTTGCAGCTTATAGAGATGCCAAAATGTGTTTCAAATCAATAACCTGGTTCATTATTAAACATAAGGAATGGGATGACCAGCCCAACAACACCAAAAGGCCTGAGTGAGTGCAAAACTAATGTGGATGATGACGAAATTATTTCTATGATTAAGAAAAACAACTTCACAACATCTTACCAAGTTAAGAACACTCTCTAGGAAATTGCTGTGTGTGTGTGTGTGTATGTGTTAGTCCCCATAGGGAAATAGTTCCTCTGCATTTAGCCCATTCACCCAGTGAAGCAGTGGGCAGCCATCAATGCAGCGCCCGGGGAGCAGTGTGTAGGGACGGTACCCTGCTCAGGGGCACCTCAGGGTAGCCGTTCAGTGGAGTCGAACCCCCAACCTTCCAATCATGGGGCCACCACTCTACCTACTGAGCTATCCCTGCCCATATGTATAATGCTGTATTACTGTTGAAGTTAATAATCAAGAAACACATTCATGGATTCAAGAACAGAGTGTAACAACAAAACATTTTAAAGAGCCAAAAGATTCTTTAGTCACATAAACCAAGATTAACTTGTACCAGAACAATGCTAAGTAAAAGAAAAAGCCCATAATCGTGCCCATATAATAACATGGAGCCAATGTTATAATATGGGCATGGTATGCGCCACAAAGTGTGATTGCTGACAGAATTAGCAGGATGAATTGCGTGCAGGGCTATACTCTGCTCAGGTTCAGCAGGGTAAACTGAGTGGAGTGAGCGTCACGATGCAAACAATGATCCAAAGAATGCTGCAGAAGCAATCCAAGAGTTTTTACAAGAATCAATGTCTTTATATTTAAAATTGTTAGTTTGTCCAACTAGTCTTGAGCCTCTGAAAATGAGGCATTATGTATAAAAATGTTTGTAACTCGTACAGTAAATAGTTAATGAAATTTTTGTTAAATGTCTTGAACCTTTAAGTCAGATGTAAAATCCACTGTGATAGTGTACAGACAGAAGACTACAAAAAGTGTCTTTGTCTAACAAACTATGGGCCTAACTTTAGTCTTTTAAGAGCACAAGGGATATGTGCTGGCTGTGAAGTTTCTTCTTTACATGTGGCCTGGATGTAGTAAAACTATATATACAAATGTATGTGGAGGCAAAGAGGAATGATGCCAAAACAGCAATTCCTTCCCCAGAGTTTAAATTTAGAATAATGTCAGTACTGATCACTGGTAAGGGTCTGTGTTGAGTTTCTTTCAAATTTGTAACAAGAAAGGTTTATTGTCACCCACAAACAGATAAAAAACACTTTAAATTAATTTAAGTAATTTTAATATTTTGTCCCAGCACATTATAATCTATCATTCTATCAACAATATTGGAAATAACAGCGCATACAGTAGTGTAATTTGTTCATCACAGGCCAATCCACATTGGTCCATTTGTTCATACACATTTGTAAGTTCTCATAAAACTAGTCACAGAGCTGGCAAATTTACAGTACATTTTAAATAATTAATTTTCCACACATGTCTTGCTATGCATTTCAAAATAAGCACCATTATACAGTATTATACAGCTACTGTAAACAAATATGGGTGTGGTCATTTTTGCCCCTCAGCTCTTTGCCTGCGGATGAGATCAGAATAATATCCTCCTTTGCTCAGCAGTTCCACATGTGTCCCAGCCTGTAACAAAAAGGAAAAAGGTGTTAGATATAATAAAAATTGATATAACACAATCAACTCAACAAGGAAGCTACCAGTATGTCCATATGTATTACTGAATACTGAAAGAATTCAATTTTTTTAAGTACATCTCTGACATTAAAAGCTAGAGTAAATTAGCTGGAGGATTTAAATGGAGGTCAGAGTATGTTCTGAATACTCAGCCTTCTCACCTCCACAATACGACCATTGCTCATCACGCAGATCAAGTCAGCCCTTTGAATGGTGCTTAATCGGTGGGCGATGATGAGCACAGTGCGACCCCTTGTGGCTCTGTCCAGAGCCTCTTGCACCACTCGCTCTGATTCTGCATCCAGAGCACTTGTGGCTTCATCCAGCACCAGAATACTGGGGTTCTTGATCAAAGCGCGGGCAATGGCAATGCGTTGTTTCTGTCCACCTGATAATGTCACACCTCGCTCACCTGGATTTAAAGATCTGGAGTTTAGAATGAACAAGCGGCACCGTTTCTTAACAGTCGTGAAAGCTCAAATGGGAGCACATACCAACCACGGTGTTATAGCCGTCTGGGAAACCCGTGATGAAGCCGTGAGCATTGGCTTGCTTTGCTGCATTAATGACCTCAGCATCTGTAGCCTCAGGCTTCCCAAAACGGATGTTCTCCATGACGGATGATCCAAACAAAACTGGCTCCTAAAAGAAAGGAGAAAGAGGAAAAAAAGAAAGTTGCAGTGAAAATTGTTAGGAACTAATACTTTTTAAAAATTGAACATGAAATGATCAGCAGCCTTGACCTGATTGATGAATCCGATAACTTGGCTCCTGAGCCAGCAAAGGTCAAGTGTTCGAATGTCGAGGCCGTCCAACATGACTACGCCGCTGGTAGGGTCATAGAAACGCTCCAGCAGGGACGCCACTGTGGACTTTCCTACAGGGTTAAACATTTATCAGATGACCCAATATTGTTTGAATGTCGAACAGTTACTAAATGAAATGTCAGAAATTACCTCCTCCAGATTCTCCAACAATGGCGACTGTTTTACTGGGTGGTAGTGTCAAACTGAACCTCTGCAAGACTTGATGGCCAGGTCTTGTTGGATAACTGGAAACATATCAATAGAAAACAATACATCATTCACAAAACATTCTTTTATGTCTGTGCTCTGTTGTAGTTTTAAACTTATATTTGATTTGGAGATGAATTAGAAGGATTTCAACCTGAACGAGACATTCATGAAGTCCACTCTTCCTGTGAGTGAATGGTATGGGATGCGTCCTCCTCCAGAGAGGGGGATAGTGGGCTGCAAAGCAAGGTATTCAAAAACCCGAGCCCCAGAGCTCATTCCTCTTACCACCTGCGGCAAATGTTAAGAGATTGCCAGCAAAATATTTGAGGCATTTGGAAATGTTCACATATTATAATACTCCAGTTTCAAATCTGGTTGGATAATCAGATAATCATAGTTTTTACTTACTTGACCGAAAAGTATGGAGATACTGGCCAAAGACCTAAACATAAAATGAATGCATGACTTGTAATTAACTACTTTTGAAAGAATACATTTAACAGTAAAAGAGAAATCATCGTGGAGCAAGTTGTGTGTTTTTACCTCTGAACAGTCTGAGAGGCAACCAAAAAGGACATTAGGTCTCCAGGAGACATTTCATTGCTTGAAATTAAAGTTCCTCCAGCAAAAATAGTTCCAAGGACAATGCCTGTATTAACACGACACAAAAACATTAGCATAATGTTGGTAGTTTAACAGCCTGCTAAAAAGTGTGTCAACTAATTAACATTGTAAAAGACACTCACAGTTCAGGGCTATGTTTGACAGCCCTTGGAAAATGGCAATCCCAGTACCAAGATTTTCATTCATTTCACATGATTTGTCAACTTCATATGCATATAACCTGTGTAAAAACATTACGGAAATCAAAACATTGTATCTCTGTCATAGATTTAGTGCTTTTCTGAAAGTACAAAGGGTAGAAGTATAACAAAAAATATTCTCACTTACTGGAGCTCTCGTTCCTCCATTGCAAAAGCTTTTACTGTGCGCACATTACCAAGTGCCTCATCTGCCACCCCTGTCGCCTTTGCTACCTTGCATTTGACAGCATGAAGTAAAAACACAGTCAGACAGCAAATTATACTAATTTTGCAAATAATAGCTCATGCAGTGCTTTTTATTGGTTGCTTTGAGTGCCAGTGGTACTAATAAATTAAGCGCTGCTGCATACGTTTACATTTTACTGCATTTCAAAATAGGAGTTCAAACTTAACTAACATCTGCTGTCAGTAATTAGAACAAATCTTGAATTTATTAAGCCAACCGCTATATGCTTATATTACATGAAATATAACATGCATAGTACAACACCTGCTCTTGAGCCAAGCGGGATAGTCTGCGAAGGAATGAGCCAATGAGAGCTCCTGCTCCCACAAGACAGGGGAGGACAAGTACTGTCAAACCTGTGAGTTTTGGAGAAATGACATAGAGAGAGACAAAACATCCGACTGTCTGTGTAATACTCCGCAGACCCTGAAAATATACCAAAAAAGTGCAAAAAAAATAAGAATTAGAAGCGTAAAACCAGAAAATCATCACTGCCGGATCGTTCTTGTGTTATTACCTGAGAAATAACCAGTTTAAAGGATGACTTGAACTCCTGAATGTCAGCAGTCAAACGATTCACCAGCTGCCCGGTTTTATTAGCATCGAAGAAAGCCACGTCTTGTCTGAATTGAAAGAAAGCAAACAAGACAACGTGAACTATGGGAATCCCTGCCAGACAGTGGATGTCATACAGTCAGAGTTACGTGTATTTGGATTATGACACCGTTTTTGCAGTTGTGCTTCTGTACACCGCGACAAAAACTTTAAATTAGACAATCAAAGTGCAGACTTTCAAAACATTAATCAAAGATTTTGCACTAACTGCTTAGAAAGACAATTTTACACATAGTAATTGGATTACTTAAAATGCCCAGTTGCTTTTGATGTTTTGAAAATGGGTCACTGTGTTAGAAAAATGTCTGTAAATAAACATTACAGACATAAATTTGTTAATGCAAATTTCAGTCTGAAGTCTTTATGTTTTGAGTTAAAATCCTCTATGGGGAGCACTTAGAGCCCAAATTACAAAACTTTTCTCATGGTCTAAACACTTCTGCACCAAACTATACATAACATTTATTGTATACATCGATTTTTTTCCCTTTGTGTCAATATGTATGTATGTACCTCAGTAAGGATGCAAAAAGGGTCTTTCTCATGTCTGCCGCCACTCTTTCCCCCACCCTCGAGAGCAGAACAATGTACCCACTCGTCAACAGTCCCTGCACAAAGGAGGCAATTAAGTACCAGTTAAATAAACAATTTTCATTGAATAGATTAAATAAATAAATTATACAGTGAGATCTTTAAGTGCCAAATGAGTAAGATGAGAGAAAATGTGTGTGTATACGGCTACACAACAATTTAATATAGTTAACTGAAAACGCACTGACTATAGCATTAGAATGACTGCATTATAAAGCTGATAATTGCAAACTTCATGATTGTAGTATTTATTTTGTGCTTGACTCATGTTCACAAGTAAGTTGTGCAACTAGTGAGATTTCATGTGTACTTACCTGGATACCATACAGTCCAAGTAATTTCAGGGCTGGACCTCTTATCTCATGAACATAATTCCCAGTATTTTCTCTCAGGTAGCGTGCCACAACATTTACCAGATCACCGAGCATCAAGGGGATTTGAATGTTCAAGATAGCAGCACCAAAAGCGAGCTGAGGAAAACAGCCCCCCCCAAAAACATCCATTTTAAATGATAAGCATAAATGTCCTAACTGGCTAAAATCTTTTGCTTCACTGACATTCTTGATCAGTAAACAGATTCAGTCTTACCACAACAGCACAGACGAGAGTGAACAGCTGAGGTTTTACAAATTCCCACAGAACGTGCCATTTGAAGTCAGGCACTGGGTTTTTGGCTACAACTTCCACGGGGGTGTTATTATTCACATCTGCCTCACAGTGGGCTACATGGCAAAACAGTCGAGCTGAAACAGTAAGTACTGCTGGTCCCAGGATAAACTTCAAAGCTACTCCCGGGGGTTTCGATGTCCTGGTGGTGGACTGACGGACAGCTCTCTGAGTCAGGCTCCAAATGCGACTGACAGCACCGCCACGCTGCTGTGAGGAGCTGTTTGCATTAGACCCTGGGGATGTGCACCACCTGGATACAGACCAGGACAGAAATAAAATCAGGGAATCAAAATCATGAAGGTTTTGCAACACTAATGTAACAAAAATCCTGGCCATTATCAGCTAATCAATTTTAATGAATTCGTTCCCCTGTGTTACAGTTGAGTAGCACAAGGAAATGTGGCCCAACTGAAACAACATTTTTGTTTTAAATATATTTTATTGACAACTTCGTATTAATAAAATATACTCACACATATATATATATAAACACACACACACACACACACACATATATATGTGTGTGTAAATTGAGAAATTAATGAGACAGAAAAAAACAAGAAAACAAACAGTGTTAGGAGAACCTGTATTTAACAATTATAACGAAGTGGCACTATAATCACAGTTACACAAAAGAAAGCATA